AGAAAACTGGATCCCACAATTGTAAAGAAAGAAAAACTTACACATTTACAAAAATTAAATTATATACAATGAAAAGATAGAATATAACTGTAAAAATGAAAATTCAGCAAAACTTTTAAAAAAGAGTTGATAAAATGAGAAATTAGTTAAAAAGGAAAATATATTAAAACTGAAAGACTAAAGAATCATGAGGTAAAAAACACATGAATTCTATATACCATTTTCCCCTCGTGCTGCAGTTTTGCAGTTCTGTGTGATCTGTAACCTTGGTGTTAGCCAGATGTTCCTGCGGTCTTTTGGGGGAGGGGCCTGATGTGCTGATTCTCAGGTGGCTTTGCCTGGTGGGAATTGCACCGCCCTTGTCAGGGGCCAGGTTCAGTGTAAATGGCTCAGGATTTCTCTTTGTGGCTTTTGTTCCCTGGAGGCTTTCCATACCACTTTAGGGGATTAAAATGAAAATGGCAGTCTCCCAATCTCCAGCTCCGGAGCTGAAAGATTGCACCCCCCAATATTCAGTGAGCCCTCACAGAAAAGCAATCACTCTTGTGTCCCTGGTTTCCATCCACACTCCATGTTCACACAGCCTGTAACCAAGCACTTTTATCTCAGGCTTGTGACCTGTTTTGAGTCTCCAAACTTTAAAGACTCTGGTGGTGTGCACCTGTGCCATTCCTCTTGGGGGATGATTAGGGGTCTTGCCATGGTTCTGCCCCTTGCTAGACCCCTGCTGAGAGTGGTCATCAGACCCTGCCACAGTTTGTGGTTTATGGCAACACAGAGCTGAAAGCCCATTCCTGGGCTCTGTGTTTGCAGCTAGCTTCCCTGCTCTAATCCTTGGGAGCTCGGCCACACTCAGACTCCCATGTTCTTTTTATGATCCCAGGGATCCTGAGACCACATTGTCCCTCCTAAGGTTCCACCTGCTCACCACCTGAGTGCCTTTCAGGCAGGAATGTCCCTCACTGGAGCAGACTTGTAAAGGTTTTGATTTTACACTCTGCTGCTATATCGCTTTCTGGTACCCCGCTTTTGGAAGTGCCCTCCCCTGCCTCCACCCGTTTATCTTCCAATATATAGCCTGGGATTCACATCTCCACACCTCCTACTTTGCAAAAAGTCGTCGCTTTTCTCTCTGAAAAATTGAAACAATTCTTTCCTTAGATTTCTGAGTTCTTTCTGAGTTCATAGGTGTTCAGAATGATTTGATAGCTATATAGCTGAATTCCAGATAAAACTAGGGTCCCCTACTCCTCCACCGTCTTCCTCCAAAATCTGTTACATTTCTATACACCAATAATGAGGCAGCAGATAAAGAAACCAAGGAATCGATCCCATTTGCAACTGCACCAAAAACTATAAGATACCTATGAATATATCTAACTAAAGAAGTAAAAGATCTCTGCACTTATGAAAGAAATTGAAGAGGACACAAATATATGGAAAAATATTTCATGGTCATGGATTCAAAGAACAAACATTGTTAAAATGTCTACATTTTAGCATACATAACAAAATATACACAATGAATGCAATCCCTACCAAAATACCATCAACCTTTTTCACAGAACTAGAACAAATAAGCCTGTAATTTGTACAGAACCAGAAAAGACAAATGATTGTGAAAAAGAAAAACAAAACTGGTGCTATCACGATTCTGGATTTCAAGCTATAAAGCTAGCCATCAAGACAGTATGGTACTGGGGTGTCTGGGTGGCTTAGTCAGTTAAGTGTGATGCCTTCAGCTCAGGTCATGATGCCAGGGTCCTGAGTTTGAGCCATACAATAGGCTCCCTTCTCAGTGGGTAGTCTGCTTCTGAGGGCTCTCTCCCTCTGCAGCTTCCCTTGCTTGTGCTCTCTCACTTTTTCTCTGTGTTAAATAAATTAAATAAATAAATAAATAAATAAATAAAATCTTTTCTTTTAATAAAATCTTTTTTAAAAGAAGACAGTATGGTACAAAAACAGACACATAGATCAATGGAACAGAATAGAGAACCCAGAAATGGACCCTCAACTCTATGATCAACTAATCTTTAAACAAGTGGAAAGACTATCCAAAGGGAAAAAAGTCTTCTTGCCTGTTGGTGGGAATGCAAACTGTATGGAGGTTCCTCAAAAAGTTAAAAACAGAACTACCCTAAGATCCAGTAATTGCACTACTAGGTATTTACCCAAATGTTACAAAAATACTGATTCAAAGGGGTACATGCATCCTGATACTTATAGCAGCAATGTCCACAATGGCCAAACTATGGAGAGAGAGCCCAAATACGTATTGTATGATGAATGGATAAATAAGATGTGATATATATACAATGGAATATTACTCAGGCATCAAAAAATGGAATCTTACCATTTGCAATGACATGGAAGGAAATAGAGAGTATTATGCTAAGCAAAATGAATCAGTCAGAGAAAGACAAATATCATATGATTTCACTCATCTGTGGAATTTAAGAGAAACTGATGAACAGAAGGGAAAGGAAGGAAAAATAAAATAAGATGAAATCAGAGATGGAAACAAACCATAAGAGTTTCTATAGTTCCTATAGTTCCTTAACTATAAGAAACAAACTGAGAGTTGTTGGAGGGGAAATAGATGGGGGATGGGGTAATTAACTGGGTGATGGATGTTAGAGAGGGTACTTGATTAGTGTGCATTGGATGCTACATGCAACTGATGAATCACTAAACTCCACCTCTGAAACTAATAATACACTTTATGTTATTTAATTTAATTTTTTAATTTTTTTAAAGATTTTATCTATTTATTCATGAGAGACACAGAAAGAGAGAGGCGGGGGGCAGAGACACAGGCAGAGAGAGAAGCAGGCTCCATACAGGGAGCCCGATGCAGGACTCGATCCTGGGACTCCAGGATCACACCCTGAGCTGAAGGCAGACACTTAACCGCTGAGCCACCCAGGCATCCCTGTTATTTAATTTTAAATTTTACAAAAGAAAAAATATAATTTTCAAATCCACAACCTAACCACTTATTTTAAGACACTAAAAAAGGAAAAAAATCTAAACCTAAAGCAGGCAGAAGGAAGGCAATATACTGAGTAAAGTGCAAATTAATGAAATAAGGACAATCATCTTATGGTTTCACTCATACGGGGAATATAAAAAATAGGGCAGATCATAGGGGAAGGAGAGAAAATGAGTGGAAAAAATCAGAGAGGGTGGCAAAACATGAAGAGACTCCTAATTCTGGGAAACGAACAAGGGTTAGTGGAAGAGGAGGTGGGCGGGAGGATGGGGTGATTGGGTGACAGGAACTGAGTTGGGCGCTTGATGGGATGAACACTCAGTCTTATATGTTGAAAATAGAACTCCAATAAAAATATACAAAAAAAGAAAAAAATAAGGAACAGTAAAATACAGAAAAATGAAAGATATTAAAAATGGATTCTTTGAATAGACCGACAAAATTGACCTTTAGTCAGATCAACCAAGATAGAAGAGACTCAAGTTACTAGAATCAGATATGAAAGAGACACATTACTGCTAACTTTGCAGAAAGAAAAATAAAAATAAATAAATACTATGAACAACTGCACACCAACAAATGAGACAACTAAATACAATGGATATTTAGACATTTCTTCATTGAGAATATACAAATGTCAAAAGCACATATAAAGATGTTCAACATCAGTAATCATTAGGAAAATTCAAATCAAACCACTGTGAGATAACACCTCACATCTATTAAGATTAGCTATTATTAAAAAAAAAAACAGAAAAGAGCAAGCATTGGTTAGGATGTAGAGAAACTAGAATACTTGCACACTGCAGTTAATAATGAAAATTAGTGCAGACACTATGGAAACAGTATGACAGCTCTCCAAAAAATTAAACATAAGATTACCATAAAATCTAACAATTCCACTTCTTGAAATATACTCAGAGTAATCAAATATAGGACTCCAAGAAATAGTTGTACAAACATTAAAGGACAAATATTGCATAATTCTCTTCTCAGGAATTATCCTGACCAGTCAAATTTATAGACAGACAGTACAATGGTAGTTTCCAGGGGCTGTGGGGAGGGATAATGTGGAGTTACATACAGGCTTTCAGTTTTGCACTGTGAAAAGGGTTCTGTGGATAGATGTGATGGCGGGAGCACAAAACTGTGAATGATTAAGACCACTCCACTGTACACTGCAAAATATGTAAGATGGTAAATTTCATGTTATGTGTATTTTACCATAATTTTTTAAACTCTTAGAAGAAAACATAAAAATTTATTACCTTGGATTTAGCACAATAGTCTTAGATATGACACCAAAACTGTAAACAACAACAGCAACAACAACAACAGATAAATTGGACTTCATCAAAATTAAACCTTTTGTGTTTCAAATGATGGTAAAAAGAAAGTGAGGAAATGACCAACAGCTTGGGAGAAAATACTTCCAAGTTGTATTGAGGAACATATAAGAAACTTGTGTCCAGAATGTATAAATAATCTACAGACCAATGATAAAAAGACAAAAGTTCACTTAAAAATGAATCTTTTTTTCCATTTTCCAGAACCTTATAAAAGAAATACAAGCAAATATTTCTCTGAGAAGATATGCTAATAGCCAATAAGTACACGAAAAGATCAAGTATCATTAATTCTATTCATATGTGTTCAGAACAGAGAAATCATCTACAGATAGGGAAGATGATTAGTGGTTGCCTATATTGGTGAGAGGAGGTCTGACAGGTAGTAGAGGAGAATAACTAAAGGAAAGAAAGAAGGAGGAAGGAAGAAAGAAAGAAAGAAAAAAGGAAAGAAAAAAGAAAAAGGAGGGAGGGAGAGATGGAAGAGAGAAGTGAGGAAAAGAAAGAAAAGAGATTTCACAATAGGTTTTAAAGTATCTTTGTCAGATACAAGTGACAATTTATTACTAATATTGTTACTTATAAATTATATTTTTATTCCTGCACAAAATAGAATTGATATGCAATAGTTAAAAGCTTACATTCATAAAAAAAAAGCTTACATTCATTGAAGAGTTCGCCTGAGCAGTAGGTTCATCGTCTGTTGGAAACTGATATATCTGGATGCCATTACTAACCAATTCAGTCATTATTTTACACTTGAACTTCTGTAAATCATATTTAGAAATTGTATCTGCTTTGGCAATCAATGGTACAATGTTCACCTGTAAATAAGGTAGCAAACAAAATCCTACCATTGAGGATTTGTTGTTAATCTTGGAATTTTTACATCAAAACCTTACAAGCTCTGACAATAAATTTTTACAACTAGATAATCACTGGCTACTACTGTACCTTCCTCACAAAATGGCTTTCCAAGTACTGATTTTCATCAATACTTTTGAAGATTAACCTTTTGTTAGAATTCAGGTATAGAGGTTTCAAATTTCTTTTCTCGAGCTTTCTTACACTTTCAACACATTTGAGTTTGTAAAATGTAAGCAGTAGAATAAGATAGTCCAATTAATTCATTATCAATTTGATGTCTTATTAAACTGAGTGCTTTCATCAAAACTGTACCCTAAATTAATTTTGTCCTTCTACCTGCCATTCATTTGCATCCCTTTCTCCATAAATCCATGCCTCTGTAGATAGATTTGCTTGTGTTTTCCAAAGGCCACCTAAAAATAATAGACCCTTCTTTTGTTACCATACTCTGAAGGCTGACTACATGTATACATGTGCATAACACCTTGCTCACAAATATATCTGTAATTTGTAAAAAGGTATTATTTCTATATTGCATATTTGAGGTTGAAATTTTATTCATAGGGGATCCCTGGGTGGCGCAGCGGTTTGGCGCCTGCCTTTGGCCCAGGGCGCGATCCTGGAGACCCAGGATCGAATCCCACGTCAGGCTCCCGGCACATGGAGCCTGCTTCTCCCTCTGCCTGTGTCTCTGCCTCTCTCTCTCTCTCTCTCTCTCTCTCTGTGTGTGACTATCATAAAAAAATAAAAAAAAATAAAAAAAAAGAAATTTTATTCATAAACTTTTTTCCTAGTTCTACAATATGATCACTCCTCTCTCCCTACATTTACATTTTAAAATTAAACTTTGTAGAAATAAAAAAATTTGCAAAATTCTAAGATACATTTTATTATTATTAAGATAAGTTATCTTATTAAATCATAGCTACATAATATCAAGTTTTGTGATATGGTAAGAATGCATAAAAATCAGCTCCAGGTGTATTGTTTTTGTTTTAGATTCTTCAAAGCACATTTTAAAAAATCCTTGTACAAATCTAGGGCTTCAATATAACATGAATGTTCAAATTTTTACCTAATTTTAGAATCTTAAATAATTCCTTCCACAATAAAAAGCATACAACTTCTAAGGTAGATTCAAATATCTTGGATTGTATTGCTGAGAAAGCTATCTTCTAATGATAGTAAAACCTTAACATATAATAAATGGAAAATTTCCATGTTAATAATTTAGATATTCAGACTTGAGGAATGAAAGTCACTTATTGCAGAAGGGAACTGAGCCTAGAAGAGAAGACAATAGACACACAAAATCACCATTGCCCACCCCATTGTTCCTGTATGTTCTTGTAAAAAAAAATTAACAATTTTCTATATCTGGAAATTGCTTCATGATAACAGCTACCCATAATATTAAAAATAAAACTGAGTGTCCCTGGCAATTGAATATACTAATAATCAAGAAATTGAGGCAGCTTTTGATTTTAACTAGAAGTCTAACTTCTTTTTAAAAACTTGGTGACATGTAACATTAAAATACAAAATTTCTTTCCAGTTTGAACCATATAGAGCAAAAGCCAAGACTTCTTTGATAAAAAGAAACCAGATTTTGTACTTTTTCTCTCTTTACCCTAATAAAGGATAAAAAAGAACTCATGGCATAAAAATTTCTTTCATATATATATATTTACCCTCTACTGGAAAAAATATATTCATACATATTGCATTCTGAATCCTCTGTGATAGACCACGAACCAAGATCATGAAAACTTCATGTTTCACATAATCAGTGGTAACGGATAAATGTTAATGGGATTGCTTTATAGTGATGTAGAATGAATTCAATTTGAAAATTACAGATAAATTACCACAATCTCTGTTATCTTAAATCACAAAAAAACTGTAAATTTTTATCTTATTATTTTTTAATCTGTATCTTATTTTCCTAATACCTAATTAAATTTTTCTGGAAAGCAAACTAAGGTTGAAGTTTATCAAATGCTATGGGCTGAATGTATCATCCCACCCCGGTGCCTATGTTGAGGCCCAAACCCCCAGTAGGAAACAGACATACAGACATCAGGTATGTGCAGAGGAAACACCATGTGAGGACACAGTGAGAAGGCAACTATCATTTAAAAAAAAGTAGGTTTTCAAAGAAAAAAATACCTTGGTGGCATTTTCATATTGGACTTCTACTTTCCATAACTGAGAAAATTAATTTCTGTTTAGACTACTAAGTCTGTGGTATGTTGCAATGCTATACTTTGGAAATTAAGAGAAGTGCTTTAAAGATTAATAGAAAAAATTATATTTTAACATATAACATATAAATTCTTGTATTCAAATACCTTCAAGTTATACATTATCACAAAATAATTATCAAATCTTAATAGGCTGATGGATTTATCTAACACACCTTACTGTCAATGTTTTTCATTGTTAATAGATCAAGGGACTTCAGAGAATGTCCTGTAGGTGAAATGAAGTAAAGGCACACATGTATACGGGAATCATGGTAGTCAGTGAAGGAACGTTTAATTTTCAATTCTTCTTGAAGATAAGCCTCAAATTGAGCATCTACATAGTCAACTATAGGTTGGTAGCTGAAAAAAAAAAAGATTATTTCAACAGATTAGCATGACAGATTAATAACACCTATACTCTGCCTTTTAACCATTTAATTAATATAATTAATACGGGGGAGCTTGGGATGATGGCAGAGTAGAAGGACACGGTTCACTGTATCCCATGTTTATAAATAGATATCACCCACATCCAAGTCAATAAATCAGAGAGTGATCCAAACACTAACAAAACACATTCCATGACTTATACACAAAAGAAGCTGCATCTGAATGTTTAGGAAGGTCAGAAAGGGGGAGGAAGACTGTTCATAAGAGGGAGGGACCTGCATGTGCAAAGAGGGGAGGGGAAACAGATCCTTGTGCCAGGGAGTTCACACAGGGAAGACAAACCCACGTAGCTTTTGATTTTTAAAGCCAGAGGGGCTGAATTCTATGAGTTTGTATAACCAATGGGGCTTAGAACCTACCTGGAGCTTTAAATGCCCACTGACTTGACCCTGGGCAAGCCTAGAGGACTAGTGATAGCTGTATCATTCCCCTTAAATATACAGCAACCTGTGCATGGAGGTAACATAAAAAATGGTAGTTTAGGGATCCCTGGGTGGCTCATCGGTTTAGTGCCTGCCTTTGGCCCAGGGTGCGATCCTGGAACCTGGGACGAGTCCCACATCAGGCTCCCAGCATGGAGCCTGCTTCTTCCTCCTCCTGTGTCTCTGCCTCTCTCTCTCTCTCTCTCTCTCTCTCTCTCTCTCTATCATAAATAAATAAATAAATAAATAAATCTTTAAAAATATGGTAGTTTACATAGTGCTGTGGGCAAACAGGAGACATATCCATTTATACTGATTTCAGAGCATGTTAGGAGATGTCACTGAAAATGAAGGACCCGACAGGTGTCATTTTGCTCTCCCATTCCCCAGCATAAACACAGGGCCATCTGCAGGACCCTGGGTTGCACAGACAATAGCTAACCAAATTGCTAGCAATGTGCCGTGTCCACAAGTTTTCCTGAGGACCCCCACATTCCAAGCCTGCCAGCCTCAGCCCTGAGCTCAGGGAAAATTTTGTTAAACTGCATATAATCCCTGCCCAGCTGCTGGGTGCACAGCCACCATTGCACACCTGAACCAGCATGCCCACCTATCACCACACACCATGCCCAGCAACCCACATCCTCTCACACTGAAGCCAAGACTCCCATTGCCTCAGCACTTCAAGGGATCCAGCATAAGACTAGTTGCACAAAGAAAATTTGGCTAAAACTACTGCCCTACCCCCAAGTTCTCCAGCAGGCACAACCCCTAAGAGTTGCCTTACCTGGGTTCTACTAAGTACAGAGAACAAGCAGTGTCCACAACAGGCAAAGAGTCAGTGCAGGTGACTGAACTGAAAGGAAAAATGACTATGACACAAAAGCAGGATGTAAGCAACACACATAGGATACTCTACTCAAGTGCCAGGTTCCAGTGCACAGGGAACACTACACAGAACCTCCTCTTCATAAAGTCACTACTTTTAAGAGAAAAAGACATAGCTGACATTCTTAATGCACATAAACAGACACAAAGAAGCAGACAAAATGAGGAGACAGAGAAATTTATGCAAATTGGAAGAATAGGACAACCCAATCAAAGCAAAGCAGATAAAAGTAATATGCCTCATAGAAAATTTAAAGCAATGAGCATGAGGACTCACTGGAATTGAGAAAAGTGCAAGACATGAGTAAGAACCTGTTATTAACAAAGAGATAAGGAACAAACAGCAGAAAGGAAGAGCACAATAAACTAAATTAATGATTGACAGAATGAACAGCAGAAAGAAAAAGGCAGAGGAATGAATTAGTGACCTAGAAGATAGAGTAATGGAAGAAAGTCACCAAGCTGAAAAAAAAAAAGAATTATGCAAAAGGAGAATAGACTTATGGAACTCAGTGACTACACCAAACATAATATCATCCATGGTACAGGACTCCCAGAAGAAGAAGAGAGAAAAGGAAGCAGAAAATTTATTTCAAGAAATAATAGCTGAGGGACACCCGGGTGGCTCAGTGGATGAGTGTCTGTTTTTAGCTCAGGTAATAATGCTGCAATCGAGTCCTGCATCAGGCTCCCTACAGGGGAGGCTGCTTCCCCTTCTGCCTATGTTTCTGCCTCTCTCTGTGTGTCCCTCATGAATAAATAAATAAAATCTTTAAAAAAGAGAGAAAGAAATAATATCTGAAAAATTCCCTAATCTGGAGGGGAAGCACAGATACCTAGATCCAGGAGGCACAGAGAACTGGATCAAAAGCAACAAAAGCAGACCATCATGGACTACTGTGACACCATCATTTTTATCCCACCCATTGGTGCTGAAAGCCTTCAGGGAACAAAACACCACCACATAGTACAATACAGCCACTTACACAGAGTCATCCATCCTGGATGAAAAAGGATAATATATCATAATAAGAGCATCTATCTAACAAGAAGATCTAACACATAAATATTTGTGATCCTAACTAAGGAAAACAAACCTAAAGAAATTCATTGATAATAATACAATAATAGTAGGTACTTTAACGTTCCCTCACAGCAATGGACAGATCATTTAAGTAGAAGATTGACCAGGAAACAAAGACTTCAAGTGACACCCTGAACCAGATGGACTTCACAGATACATTCAGACATTTAATCCTAAACCAGCATATGCACATCCTTCTCAAGTGCATATGGAACACTCTTCAGAAGAGATAACATATCAGGTCACAATCAGGACTCGCCAGTACAAAATGTTTGAGATCATATGATACATATTTTCAGAACACAGTGCTTTAAAACTTGAAGCAACTACAGGAAAAACATGGAAGGACCATAAATACATGGAAGAGAATCCTACTAAGAATGGATGGGTCAACAAGAAACTAAGGAAGAATTTTTAAAATACATGGAAACAAATGGAAATGAAAACACAACATTTCAGAACATTTATGATGCAGCAAAGTGATCCTAAGATGGAAGCATATAGCAAAACTGGCCTTTCTCAAAAAACAAGAGAAGTCTCAAATATATAACATAACATTACAGAACAAATAAGGCCTAACTCCAGCAGGAGAAGAGAAATAACAAAGATTAGGGCAGAAATCAATGATCAGAAATCAAATCTATCAGAATTTTTTTGATCAGAAATAAAAAAATCAACGATTAAAAAAAAATCAAAAATTTTTTTAAAAAGCCAGTAAAACAGGTCAAGGAAAGTAGGGCTGGTTCCTTGAAATAATTGAGATAAATAAACCCTTCCCCAGACTTTTCAAATAGAAAAGACCCAAAAATCAAAATCATGAATGAAAGAGGAGAAATCACAACCAATACTCAAGAATAAAACAATTCTGAGACAATATTATGAGCAACTCTATGCCAACAAATTTAGCAATCTGAAAGAAATGGATGCACTCCTAGAAACTTATAGACTACCAAAACAGAAACAGGAAGAAATAAAAAAACCTGAACAGACCCATAACCAGCAAAGAAAATGAAGCAGTCATCAAAAATCTCCCAACATATGAGTGAAACCATATAATGATTGTCCTCTGATTGACTCATATGGGGAATATTAGAAATAGTGAAAGGAATATAGGAGAAAGGAAGGAAAATGAGTGGGAAAAATTAGAGAGGGAGACAAAACATGAGAGACTCCTAACTCTAGGAAATGAACAAGGGGTAATGGAAGGGGAGGCAGGTGGGGGGATGGGGTGACTGGGTGATGGGCACTGAGGAGGGCACTTGATGGGATGAACACTGGGTGTTATACTATATGATGGCAAATCGAACTCCAATAAAAAATACACATAAAATAAAATAAAATAAAATAAAATAAAATAAATATTTTTTAAAATCTCCCAACAAACAAGAGTCCAGGGCCAGATGGCATCTCAGCAGAATTCTAACAAACATTTAAAGAAAAATTAGGACTCCTTCTTCTGAAGCTGCTTCAAAAAGTAGAAAAGGAGGGAAAACTTCCAAACTCAATCTATGAGGCCAGCATTACTTCGATCCCAAAATCCCACAAAGACTCCACCAAAAAGATTTACAGACCAATATTCCTGATGAATATAGATATAAATAATCTAACTAAGACACTAGCTAATACAATCCAATAATACATCAAAAGGATTATTCACGATGACCGAGTAGGATTAATTCCTTGGCTGTAAGGGTGGTTCAACATCCACATATCAATCAATGTGATGAACCACATTAATAAAAGAAAGGACAAGAACCATATGATCCTCTAAGTAGATCCAGAAAAAGCATCTGACAAAATACAACATTCCTTCCTTTCTTGATAAAACCTCTGCAATGTAGAGATAGAGGGAACATTCCTCAATATCATAAAATCCATATGCAAAAAACCCACAGAAAATATCATCCTCAATGGGGAAAACCGGAGAGCCATCCCCTAAGGCCGGGAACATGACACGGATGCCCAATCTCATCACTGTTATTCAACATAGTACTAGAAGTCCTAGCCTCAGCAATCAGACAACAAAAAGAAATAAAAGACATTCAGAAGAACAAAACTTCATAGATAACATGATACTCTATGTTGAAAACCCAAAAGATTCTACCCCAAAATTGCTAGAACTCATAAAAGAACTCAGCAAAGTTACAGGATATAAAATCAATGCAAAAAAATTAGTTGCATTTCTTTTGCTTTATAAAATATTTTTTTATTTATTCATGAGAGACAGAGAGAGGCAGAGACACAGGCAGAGGGAGAAGCAGGCTTCATGTGGGGAGCCCAACGTGGGACTCGATCCTGAGACCCTGGGATCACGCCCCGAGCCAAAGGCAGGCACCCAACCGCTGAGCCGCCCAGGTGTCCGAATTAATTGCGTTTCTATACAGTAACAGTGAGGTAGCAGAAAGAGAAATCAAGGAATCAATTCCATTTACAATTGCACCCAAAAGCATAAGATAACTAGGAATAAACCTAACCAAAGAGGTAAAGGATCTATACCTTAAAAACTACAGAACACTCATGAAAGAAATGGAGGAAAGCACAAAGAGATGGAAAAACATTCCCTGTTCATGGATTGGAAGAGGCCATACCCAGAACAATCTATATATTCAGTGCAATCCCTAACAAAATACTATCAGTGTTTTTCATAGAGCTGGAACAAACAATCCTAACATTTGAACAGAACCACATGAGACCCCAAATAGTCAAAGGAATGTTGAAAAAGAAATGCAAAACTGGAGGACATCATAATTCCAGACTTCAAGCTGTATTACAAAGCCATGATCATCAAGAGTGTGATACTGGCACAAAAACAGACACACAGATAAATGGAACAGAATAAAAAAACCAGAAATGGACCCTCAACGTTATGATCAACTAATCTTTGACAAAGCAGGAAAGAACATCCAATAGAAAAAGACATTCTCTTCAGCAAATGGTGTTGGAAAACCTGGACAGCCACATGCAGAAAAATTAAACTGGACCATCTTCAGGGACACGTGGTGGCCCAAGGGTGGAGCATCTGCCTTTGGCTCAGGTCATGACCCCAGGGTCCTGGTATTGAATCCTTCATCAGACTTCCCACAGGGAAGTCTCTTCTCCCTCTGTCTATGTCTCTGCCTTTCTCTGTCTCTCATGGATAAATAAATAAAATCTTTTTAAAATAATAAAATAAACAAGGTGACTTTCTATGTCATACACAAAAATAAATTTAAAATGGATGAAAGGGGCCTCTGGGTGGCTCAGTGGTTGAGTGTCTGCCTTCAGCTCAGGGCATGATCCTGGAGTCCCGGGATCGAATCCCACATCGGGCTCCATGGGGAGTCTGCTTCTCCCTCTGCCTATGTCTCTGCCTCTGCTTCTCTTTCTGGGTCTCTCACAAATAAATAAAAGCTTCAAAAATTAAATTAATTAAATTAATTAAATTAATAAATAAAATAAAATAAAATAAAATGTATGAAAGACCTAACTGTGAATCCAGATAGGAATCCATCAAAATCCTAGAGGAGAACACAGGCAGCAACATCTTTGAACTTGGCTGCAGCAATTTCTTTCTAGGCATATCTCCAAAGGTAAGAAAAACAAAAGCAAAACTGAATTATTGGGACTTCATCAGGATAAGAAGCTGTTGAACAATAAATGAAACAATAAACCAAATTAAAGGCAGCTTATGAAATAGGAGAAGGTATTCATAAATGACATCATATAAAGAACTAGAATTTAAAATCTCCAAAGAACTTATTCAATGCAACACCCCAAAAATAATCCAGTCAAGAAATGGACAAGACATGAACAGACATTTCTCCGAAGAAGACATACAAATGGCCAACAGATACATGAAGAAATGTTCAACATTACTTATCATTAGGGTAATACAAATCAAAACTGTAATGAGATACCACCTCATACCAGTCAGAATGGATAAAATTAACAAGTCAAGAAATAACAAATGTTGACAAATATGTGGAGAAAGGGGAACCCTCTTACACTGTTGGTGGGAATGCAAACTGCTACAGCCAGTCTGGAAAATGGTATGGAGGTTCCTCAAGAAGTTAAAAATAGAGCTACCCTAGGACTTAATCTTCTTGAAAGTAAAGAGTATATAAATAAGATTATCTTGCATTATCTAGGTACTCATATGCAACAACAAATGTCCTTAAAAGAGATATAAAGGTAGCAGAGAAAGCTGTGTGAAGATAGAGGCAGAAGGGAGTGATATAGACACGGAAATATCAACAAAGATACTAAATTCCTTGAAATAAGAAAATCTTTTATTATCAAAATAAGAAATCACTAACCTGGCTTCTTTATTTATTTGATCACCATATCCCACAGTTCTCACAACAGTTAATTTCAATTGAACATTATTTTCTTGAAGTTCATATGTCTGAATTTTAAGTCCAACATTTGAGTAAAAATGCGAGGATTTTTTGTCTTTCAAATTAGTATTGAACAATGTGTCAATGAGTGTTGATTTTCCAATCCCAGTTTCTCCTGTAATAAACATAGATACATTATCTAGGGGCATAAGATGGCTGAGAAGAAGTAACACTCTTAACTCTTAAAGTGGCTTAAAGGGTCTCAAATACATCAATGACTATAATGTCCTTTAAAGTATACATGCTTCTCTTGATTCAGTCATTAATATAATATAGAAAAATATATACATAAAGATGTATCAGATTTTGAAGAGCACTGAAACATTTAAAGAAAAAAGTCTAAGTAATATGACTAACATGATGGAAACAAACACAGATGAAAAGACACAGTCTTGAAGTAACAGCACCAGTGTTACACTACTTAAGATAAATTGAAATGAGCATTTGAGAAAATTAATAATTCAGAAGAGGAGTCAGGCACTTACCCACACACAGAATATTAAAAGAGAATCCTTGTTGGATAGATCGGTTCACCAATTGATGAGGCAAACATTCAAAACCAAAATGACCAAGCATTGTTAAGCAACGGACACTATCTCCTTTTTGCTTAAAAAAATAAAAATGAAAAGATATTAATTAGAATTAGTAATGTCATTTGAAATACGATTTTAGCATGTTGAAGAAATTACAGTTATCATTTGATTATCATAATTCAGACAATATTCAAATGAAGTAAATTTGTGAGCAAATAAGTCTTTTTCCAGACACATAAATTTTGCTTCAACTTAAAAAATAGTAAATAGAGAGGAAGAAGAGGAGGATGGTGGTGGAGTAGAAGGACCTAGGCTCATCTTGCTCATCTTGTCTCATCAATACAAATAGATAACTATGAAATCATCCTAAATATCTCCAGAAATCAATCTGAAGAATGACAGAACAAACTCCACAACTAAAGGGAGAGAACAGGCCACATCAAAGAAGGCAGGAAATGTGGAGAAGTGGTAGAGGGGAGAAAAAGATCATAGGTGCTGCTGTAAGAAGAGAGCCAGAGCTGCAGGGAAGAATGAAAGAGGAGCACACAGGGGAACACACAAAGAGAATGTTTTGCAAAACGTATGAGATTGGAAATCTAGAAGGGCTGAATTTCGTGAGTTCTTGCAACCAGTGGGGCTTAAAGCCTGCAGTTTTGAAGGTGAGCTGCCTTGGCTGGATAGAGCTCCAAGGGCACTGTGCTGCTCCTGGAGAGAGGGCAGGCAAACAACTCAGTAGCAGATCCCATGGAAATAGCACTCTGATCATTGCCTAGGGCACACAGGGGGCAGATTATTTACTCTTCTCCAAGTACAGACCAAAAAGGCATTGTTCACAGATGCATCTTGGGAACAAAAGAGCTGCCTGGCAACATTTCCCTCATCTGTCAGTCAGCATAAACACAGAACTGCAGGAAGCAGCACAGTGCCGCCTCTGGTTGTCTAAACTTGCTTGCACAAAGCCCCACCCCTTGCGCTCTGGTGGGAATACCCTTCCAAGTCAAACTTGCTTCAAGCACAATGTGGCAGGCTCCACCTACAGAAGACCAGCAGAAACCCTGCCCACACTATGTCTCCTGACCTGAAAGTTCTGCAGGACTTCAGTCCTAGTGGAAGTAGTATCAGGTCTCAGTCAACAAGCAGACCAGAGCACACTTAGTTAAAACCATTTTGGCCAGGGGTCAAGCACTGCCCACTGCAGGCAAGGAAAGCCTCTGCGGACCACTGGTGTGAAGAATAGAGCAAAAGCAAATGCATGCAGCACAAACCAGAGGCACTCCCTGAAGCATCAGGCCCTGGACACAGCATGACCCATTCAGGGGTCCTGAGAGTATCAGGACCAGGAAACATAATGGGCTTTTCTAACATACAAAATAAGGCAAACCTTAGATAAAATGTCAAATGGAGGAATTCATCCCAAGTGAAAGAACAAGATAAGTTCACAACCAGAGATCTAAGCAAAGCAGATAGAAGTAACATGTCTGATGGAGAATTTAAAGCAAAAATCACAAGGATATTCTCTGGGCTTAAAACAAAAGAATATAAGAGATCAGTGAGGCCTCACTGCAGAGAGAGAAGAGTAAAAAAAAAAAAAAGTCAGAGATGAAGAGTACAATAAATGAGATTGGAAACAGGCCTGATGCAATGTACAGTGGGCTGGAAGAAGTAGGGGAATTAATTAATGACATAGAAGACAAAGTAACAGAAATTAAAGAAGCTGAACAGCATAGAGAAAGCATTACACAAGAATAGACTTGCAGAACTCAATGACTCCATCAAATGTAATAACATGAATATTATAGGAGTCCTAGAAAAGAAGAGAGAGAAAGGGGGCAGAAATTTTATTTGAAGAAACAGTAACTGAAAATGTCCCTAATCTGAGGAAGAAAATAGACATCCAGATCCAGGAGGCACAGAGAACTCCCATCAAAATCAAGTAGAGCAGGCCAGTGGAGTTAAGATGACAGAGCAGTAGGGGACCCTAAGTTTCACTGGTCCATCGAATACAGCTAGGGAGTTAGCAAGTCATTCTGAAACATGTGAAATCAATCAGATATCTGAGGAAAAAAATGTTGCCTTTCTATAAGCAGAAAAGCACCCACTTTTTTGGAAGGTAGGGGTTGTGGAGACTTAAATCCAGGAAGATATATCTGAAGATACGGTGAAAGGGAGGGAGCCTGCTTAAGGAGGCTTTCACAAAATATAACCAGCAGGGTGCAAAGTCAGAACTTTTAGAAGTCTGCTACAGTGGGAGATGCGCCTGCCTTAAGGTGCTCGGGTGGTGGAGTGGGGTGGAATCCCAGGTGTGACATCGTGGTCTTGGGATCCCCAGGGTCACAAAAAGAACAAGTGTGCCTGAGTGTGGCAGAATTCTCACGCTTAGGAGAGGGGAAGCCCACTGAAAACAGTGAGTTTCTGCACCAGCTTTCTGCTCTGTGTTGCCATAAACTGTGAGCAGCTGAATGATTGAACAACTGCTTTCCACACAGGTGCCCAGCGAAAGGCAGAGGCATAGCAGGACCCCGTTGTCCCCTAGGAGATATGGCATGGGTTGACGATCCAGGAGTCTATAAAATTTAGAAACCTGAAACTCAGTTGCATGCCTGAGGAAAAAAAAACAGTCACAGGCTGGGTGAACACAAAGTTTGGATGAAAACCAAGGAGACAAGAGTGACTGACTGCTATTCTGTGAGGACTCACTGAAGAGTGGGGGCCTGACCTTCAGCTACAGAGCTAGAGAGCAGGCCACTGCCATCCACATGCTACCCTTCAGTGTAGAGAGCTATCAGGAGTGAAATAGCAGCACATAATGCAATGCAGAGCTGCCTACATTAACCCCAGCCCCCTGGCAAGGGAGGGACCTTTCCACAAAGGCAAGGGCACCTGAGAATTAGGGCAACAGTCCATCCCCCTGAACCTCAGCAGCAAGAACTGGCCAACACAATGTACTGAACATAGGAAGATGCAAACCTTAGGTTTTGGAGAAAACAGATATAGCATTCATGGTTTTTTTTTTGTTTTTTATTCTTTAGTCTCTCAGTTTTTCAGTTATTTTCATATTTTTCCAATTACTTTTTAATGATGAGTTTTGTTTTTACATATATGTTATAATTTTTATTTTTTTCTTTCCTTTCCATTCATTTTATTTTATTAATTTTTTTGGTATATTTTCTATTGGAGTTCGATATGCCAACATATAGTATAACACCCAGTGCTCATCCTGTCAGGTGCCAGCTCAGAACCCATCACCAGGTCACCCAATGCTCCCGCCCACCTTCCCTGCCACTAGCCCTTGTTTGTTTCCTAGAGTTAGGAGTCTCTCATGGTTTGTCTCCCTCTCTGATATTTCACACTCAATTTCTCTCCTTTCCCCTTTAATCCCTTTTCTTATATTCCCCGTATGAGTGAAACCATATGATGATTGTCCCCTGATTGACTCCCTTCACTCAGCATAATACCCTCCAGTTCCAACCACGTCGAAGCAAATGGTGGGTATTTGTTGATTCTAATGGCTGAGTAATATTCCATTATATATATAGACCACATCTTATTTATTCATTCATTGTCGATGGACACCAAGGCTCCTTCCACAGTTTGGCTATTCTGGACACTGCTGCTATAAACATTGGGGTGTAGGTGTCCTGGCATTTCACTACATTTGTATCTTTGGGGTAAATCCCCAGTAGTGCCATTGATGGGTCGTAGGGCAGCTCTATTTTTACCTCTTTGAGGAACCTCCACACAGTTTTCCAGAGTGGCTGCACCAGTTCACATTCCCACCAACGGTGCAGGAGGGTTCCCCTTTCTCCACATCCTCTCCAACGTTTGTGGTTTTCTGTCTTGTTAATTTTCCCCATTCTCACACGTGTGAAGTGGTATCTCATTGTGGTTTTGATTTATATGGCAAGTGATGCGGAGAATCTTCTCATGTGCTTGTCGGCCATGTCTATGTCTTCCTTGGTGAAATTTCTGTTCATGTCTTTTACCCATTTCATGATTGGATTGCTTGTTTCTTGGGTGTTGAGTTTTAATAAGTTCTTTATAAATTTTGGATACTAGCCCTTTTTTGATCTGTCATTTGCAAATATCTTCTCCCACTCTGTAGGTTGTCTTTGAGTTTTATTGACGGTATCTTTTGCTGTGCATAAGTTTTTTATCTTGATTAAGTCCCAATAGTTCATTTTTTGCTTTTTTTCCCCTTGCCTTCATAGATATAAATTTGCTGTGGCCAAGTTCAAAAAGGGTGTTGCCTGTGTCTCCTCTAGGATTTTGATATTGTCTCACATTGAGATCTTTCATCCATTTTGAGTTTATCTTTGTGTCTGGTGGAAGAGAATGGTCTAGTTTCATTCTTCTGCATGTGGATGTCCAATTTTCCCAGCAACATTTATTGAAGAGACTGTCCTTTTTCCAGTGGATAGTCTTTCCTGCTTTGTCAAATATTAGTTGACCAAAGAGTTGAGGGGGTATTTCTGGGTTCTCTATTCTGTTCCATTGATTTATGTGTCTTCTTTTTTTTGGTGCCAGTACCACACTGTCTTGATGACCACAGCTTTGTAGTACAACCTGAAATCTGGCATTGTGATGCCCCCAGATATGGTTTTCTTTTTCAATATTCTCCTATTTGGGGTCTTTTCTGATTCCATACAAATCTTAACATGATATGTTCCAACTCTCTGAAGAAAGTCCATGGTATTTTGATAGGGATTGCATTAGACGTGTAAATTGCCCTGGGTAGCATTGACATTTTCACAATATTAATTCTTCCAATCCATGAGCATGGAATATTTTTCCATCTCTTTGTGTCTTCCTCAATTGCTTTCAGAAGTGTTCTGTAGTTTTTTAGGGTACAGATCCTTTACCTCTTTGGCTAGGTTTATTCCTGGAATCGGTGCTTTTTGGTGCAATTGTAAATGGGATTGATTCCTTATTTTCTCTTTCTTTTTTTTTTTTTTTAAATGTTTTGTATGTTTTTTTTTTTTAACCACTTGGGTTTTTTTTTTTTAATTTTTTCATTTATTTATGATAGTCACACAGAGAGAGAGAGAGAGAGGCAGAGACACAGGCAGA